ACATCCGTCAAAAGTTTCGAGAATAATGTACGACCCGTTTCCTCGAGAGGTTGGAATAAGATCCGAACGATCAAGGAGCCTGGGAAAAGTTTCACCATCGATTTAGAAAGTAATCTTCAAGAAAGAAAAAATGACGAGTTCAATTTTACCGTAGTTTACGACAAATGCATAAATTCCTTGATCGGAAGCATCACTCAACCATGTTATCAACATCTTGTCCCCTTCGGTTAACACGTGTTTTAACAACGATTGTTTGGTGAAAGTTTTTGCAAGACTGAAAAGATGTGCATCCAACCAGAATTGATTTTTTCTTGAAAACAATGAATAAATTTAAAAGGATAACATGCGTTGCCATAAAAAATTAAGTCTTGATTCGTTTAATTGTTGATATTTAGTATATAGAAATCAAATAATAATGAGTTAACCAATGTTATTTACCTCTCATCCTGAAGCTTCCGCGGAATCAGCAGACTTCTGTCCCAGTTAGATAAAAAGTATCCTATGTAACCCGTCGTCAAAACGAGTGTATAAGCAACCTGTGCGACGGCGAATGCCAGAATCCCGTACGCATTCTTCCCCTTTTCCCCATCACTTGCTCCCAAAAGTGTTAACGCGAGTGTGATTACGCAACGCACAATTACGCCCCCTCCTTCGCAACCAACACGCAATTTGAAAATCAATTTATTCATTGCAGCTATATATAATGGTTCTACCATCAGTTCTCCGAAAGCCGACAAGCCATATAGGACCACTGATGTTACATAATATGGGGTTGCCAGAGCTTCTTCGGTGGCATAAAATATGTAGAATGCACAGGCGAGGAATGTTGTGAACATCCCAATAGGTATCGGAATCCATGATATGTTCGTAATTTTTTGCACAGATCCTCTACTGGTATTTAACGGCACGACTTTTTCTGTAGATGAACTTGCGGGCTCATCGGCGCCGCCAATTAGAGTTTCGTCCTCACCGCCTCGCAATAGAGCACACCTAAATCCCTCACGAGATAGAAACAATATCGTTGCTAATAATAATTCGAGCTGAACCGATGCAATTCCGAATGTGGCCGGATCGGTGAACCGCAGTACAACCTGATGTAGAGTAAAGGTCGCCATTCTGCTGACAAGTTGAAGTAAAACCAGGGAAGAAGCACCGGTTACTGACGACGATAGAAGATATGATACGTCCCTGGACGATTTGGAGTCATCGGCGACTCTATTGGATTTCTCGATTGATTCATTTTCTTTTTCGTATTTTTCGTGAGAAGATTCTTTGGATACCTTTCTGCGACTTGGGTTGGACATTTTTAAGAGTAATGATAATGAAAAAGAATCATTTATACTTGTAATTGTTGCCGATCTCGGCAAAATTAGTTTAGTGACGTACATTTTTGGTCATGCAAATGCTTCCCAAAATAGCATAATGGTATCAATCGTATATGCGAGTTACGTAATGAGCGATAATTGTCTAATGTGGCGTTGGTAAATAAAACTTAATTTCAAGTTTCCTTTTTAATAAGCGCGTCATTTATTGAAAAGTACATTTATTAAAAGCGAGTATTATTACATCACATTTTACATTTTTAAAAATCATGAAATTAAGACATGCCGCATCACATTTGGATAGAATGAGTAATGTGTATCAAATGAAGAGGATATTAATCGGAAGGGGGGAGAAATTGAAATCGCACGAAGATGAAATCATTCTTTCCTAAACATAATTACCGTTTCCAAGCTTCACCAGCTTCCTCACTAATTCCAGCGATTTTTTTGGTTTTACCACCGCCCTCACGATGGGATTCTTCGTCGATCACATGCCTAATGTCCTCCCACAAGTCTTCGCGGCCGAGAACGATACGATCCGCGAAATGGTGATTGGTGTCGCGGTGAGAGGCTTCATCGGCACGAATTGCCAATACCAAGTCGCGTAACGTTGCAGTTTCTCGATCCAGACGCCAATAATTAATCGCTATTTCAGGGATATTCTTGGTATTTTGAATATTCCCTGCGTCAATTTCTGCGAATGGAAATAAAAAAAAAAAAGAAAAAAGCTTAGAAGACAACATCCGAGGCATGACATTTATTGTAACGGGCATAATTACCCTTGATAAATGATGTATAGCTGACAATAGCCTCCTCCTCTAGATAGCCTACAACGCGGTGAGCAGTTCTTGGGCTGAGTAAGTATAAAGCAAAGAATGCATTGTAGAAAATTCCCTGAACTGTGGTGACCAAGGCACGTTCCCACATTGTAGGCTGGGAGATACGCATCCATGTCATCAGGTGCATACTAGAAAAAAAAAAGTGGTAAATAGCCGAAAAAGAAATCTGCTTAAAAAAAAAAAAAAGGATTTCCACGCAAAGATAACTACCGTTCATTCTCGGCTTCATGAAGCAAATGAGAAATCCAACCGCCATCATGCTTCATCTTCCTAAGGGATCCAAGATGGCGGATGGTGCCACCAACCATTCCGGGAACCGCCGCAACCTAACAGTATGTGATTATTTAATTTTGCAAAACATTTATTCACATAATCACAAAAAAGAAACCAAAAAAAAAACAAAAAACTACCGTCTCTAACATGACAGCGCGATGAATATACTTCTTTTTAAAGAATATGTCGGTAGGAAATCTCAATAGTTTGACTACCGTGAAAGCGATCTTATCTGAAAGGGTAATGGGTTTCCTATGAAGCTTAATGTTAATATCCAGATTTTCAAGATCCGTGGTCTTTAGAGGTTTTTTTGTCTCGGCAATCTCGTGACGAACTGGTTCGGGATTCTTGGTGTGCATGAGAATTTCGGGTGGCATCTTCGAAGCCAAATCATCGGCATCGGGAGAAAGTGTTTTCGTGGATGAGGATCTCCTCGATGACGTGAAAAAAGAGGGATTTTGTGTAACAAAAAGAGGTCTAAGCAGATTGGAGGCGACGATGTGTTGTTGACTTCTCCCTGAAAATAGAGAATCGACGATCCTTCTGGAGAAGCCAATAGTTGAACGTAACATTGTTTGATTAATTAAAAAAAAACGAATGGCTTACGGTGCAATGATTAATTTTGTTTAAAAACAAGTATTCTTGTAAGTGAAGGAAAAAATGGTAATCATCATGGGAGAATTAACGGGCATTTATATTAAAAACGGTTCTTATATTGGCTAATAGAAGATTAGTCATTCCAACATACGTTGATGACGAAATATGACGTTATTTAAATAATACGTCCGTAAAGATAGTTTATGCATACACGCTAGGGTCATCTCGGCATCACACGTAGCCGCATATTGATGCTATTTTTGGAAATTTTTATATAATCGATTTTTGTTAGTCATTCCGCACGATAAATTACCGGAAGGAAAGAACGTTTAAGACAGCTACATTTATCAGTACATAAAAATTCACGATAATCCCGAGCCAATGTATAATAGGCAATATCAAAGAAAATAATGTTTTGTTATTTACGTACATTTGATACATAAATCTATTTTTTTTTTTAAAAAAAACTAATTGAATGCTAAGTATCATGATATATCAGGAATATCCTATAAATTTATTCATAAAATTGAATTCTTACTAAATATTTTTTGATAGAGAATTTATGAATATTTATTAAAAGACAAATCATTTTTATTTTTGATTCGCTTATCAACTTATTCTTTAAAATAAGTTTTTATTTCATAAAACTTTAAATATTTTAAAGAATTCTAAAAATCTTTAAACAATTTTAAAATATTCATAATATTATTTTCAAAGCCTGACTTAAGAAAACCTTTTTTAATATATCAATTTAAATACTTTTGATTAAGTAATAATATAAAATTTTATTCAAAAAAAAAAAATTCTTTTTGATAAAACTTATAAAAACTAAAAAACTAATAAATTAAAAATTTTATCTTTAAAAAAAAAATTCAAAAATCCCAAAAACTTTTTTTTCAAGATTTCTTTTTTCTAATATAAATATATTTTTTTAAATATTATTAATCTATTTAATTTATCCCTTAAAAATCAAATAAAAATAAAAAAAAAAAACTATTATAGAAAAATATCAAGTTAAAATATTATAATCATTTTTACCAATTTATAATTATGTTATAATGACTTGTTTTTATTGAAAAATTAAAATAAAATTTATAATATTTCTTAGACTTTTACAAAGTAAACAACTTGTCTTTATATATAAGTACTTTAAATTATATTTTGAAAACAATATTTTATTTCCTTATAGTAATCACAATGGATCAAATCGGATCAAATATTAACTAGATTTGATCTGATCTGATTTTTATAAAATACAAATCAGATATGGATCTGATTTATTTTAAACTGATTCGATCTGATTTGAAACCATAATAGTTTGATCCGATCTGATTCGAATCTGAAACGAATCTGATTTAGTTTTGATGCAAAAACAATTTGAAACTGATTTGGTACGTTTGAATCTGTTTCAAGGAATATTCAACTATAACTATATTGATTTAACTAAATTAAATTAAATATACTTAAATTAACCTGGAATTATTTTAATAAAAAAATTTTTAACTAGTATATTATTCTTTTGGAAATATTTTTTAACTTTAAATTAAAAAAATTTTTTTTTATTAAATTTAAATTAATTTATTTATACAGTCTATGGTTGTTCACTTGCTTCTATATTAATGTACTCTCCTCTATAACCAGTACTTTCTAAAATAGCTTGATTTTCTATATCGTTTTTTTCTTTATTTTTTATTATCAATATTTCAAGTGCTTGTAAAGTATGTTGATCAGTCAATAATTGATTATATTAGTAATCCATATGATATGCTTCTTCTTTACCTTCCCTTCATTTTTTTATAGCTAATACTATTTTTTTGACCAAATTTTGAGACAACCCACAAGTTATACTTTCCATTGGTAATACTGTAATGCTATGCAATTCATTCTCTGGTCAGCAATAAAGAGCATTTCCTAGAAAAATTGTAGCAATTTTAATCATTAATAACTTAAATTTTTAATAATTTGTAATGTTTAAAAATACCTGTTATGTCAACTTTAATTTCCCATTTAGCTATGTAAAAGTTGCTTCTATCAAAATTCTCTTTATTGCAAGCTAATTCTTTATTGTTACCAGATTGTATTTCTCTCAAGCAAGTAACTGCAATTGTATGGTCCAAAAAATTAAGATTGATATGAGCAAATTTGTGTATCTTCAGGCTATATAGGCCTTACATAGACCTAAAGGATAGTTTAAATATATTTTTTTATTATCGAAAGAAACTGTAATTTCTTTCTTGGTAGTATCATATTTGTTGCCATCTAGCTGGGATAAATCATATTCTTCTATTTTTTTTGTATACTTGTAATCACATTTTCGGGAAATATATGCATGGCATAGTTAAAAAGAAAACAGTTCATTACTACAACTTTCTCTTCTTACAAATATTGCCTTTGAACCTTCGTAATTCAACAAGTATGTTATGTATATGGATAAATATTCCACTTTCTCTTGTCAAAAGATATCTGCAAACATTAATATTAATAAAATTTTAAAAATTAAAAACTTAAGTTTAGTTAAATATAT